AATGAGGAAAAGGTCCAGTCAATTTGCAAAAAGGCAGGAAAGGGGGAAAGAGAAAAGGGTAGGACAGATAGAAAGCACAAAATAAGAAGGTAGAAAGTAACATGAATGTATCAGTAATCATAAGTGTAAGTGTACTAAACACTCCAGTTCAAAGAGTGGATTTAAAAATCTAGCTCTTTTCCATGAATGAGTGGTAAATGAAAACAGAAACACAGAGGAAGGATAAAAGCAAAAGTATGGAAAAAGCAAAACAGAAACTAAGTGTCTGGCATTCTATATGTAGCTATATTCATTGTAGGCAAATAAAGTTTAAATTGAAAAGAATTACTAGAGATAAAATGACAAACACTGGGAAATGGCTTACTCTAACTTGTCTGCCCTGTTAGTACAACTTCAAAATACATTTTTAAAAAATTGACAAAGCTACAAGAAAAAATTGACAAATCCACCAACATGGTAGGAGCTTTTAAAAACACCTCTCTTAGTAATTGATCTATCAAGCAGACAACAAGTAATCAAGGATTTAGAACTTTTGTACAAAATAATTAACAGCCTTCACATAATACAGAATACCTGATTCAACAATGCACTGGTTACAAGAGTCTATAGAAAAGTTATAAGAATGGCCATATACAAGGCCATAAAACAAACTCAACAGATTAAAAAAAAATTACTTAAATCAGACTTCAACATTCAGCCATAAAAAGTAAGTTAGAAATCAGACCTCTTCAACATAAAGGGGCTGGTTGGGTAGCTCAATTGGTTAAGGTGTAGTGCTGAGAACACCAAGGGCCAGGGTTCAATCCCTATACCAGCCAGCCATCAAAAAAAAAAAAAAAAAAAAGTCAATAACAAAAACATTTCTGAAAAAGAAAAACAAAAATCCCATATCTCTGGAAAAATTTTTAAAAGTTTCTAAACATGGACCAAATAAAAAATCATAATGGAAATTAGGAAATACTTGGATCTGAACAATAAAGAAAATATTTGGTATCAAAACTTGTGGGATGCAGCTACAGCTGCACTAGGAGGGAAATTTATAGCCTTAAAATGCTTGTATAGGGAGCTGCTGGGCTTGGGTAATTTAGGTGGTCTGTCACATATTCAATGGTTTTCAGTTTCCTGGGAGTGGGAATGAACCCTCTCACCCTCCATTTGGTAGGATAAAAGCTTGTCTCCCTAACTGCCTGTTTCTTTGGGGCTTTTTCTCTTCCTAGAACACAGGGGTTCCGTCCATCCAGACTCCATCTATAGTAACTTCCAGCCCTCTCTGAGCCACATAGACCATGAAAAAAAGGTAAGAAGGGCCGGGATGAAATTCTTGCCTTCTCTTGTCCTGAGACCCCGTCTCCCCTCCTACATGGTAGGACCCTCAGGAAAGTAAAGCCACATTTACAGTTTGTGGGTCCAGGTGATTATCCCAGGTCTACACTGCCAGGAAATGGGCCTAACTTAGCGAGGGGGGTGGCAGGTGGGGGAGGAGAGCTGGGCAGCAAGGTGTAATCCATCTTCCCTCCACCCTTGAGGCTTAGGGCTCTGTGGCTCCCTCCTCCACCTTAAGTATGTCCTTGATGGCCGATTTACATAGTTATTTTCACTTTTAAGCATACATAAAATTTAAATAACAGTGCAGTAAATACTTACATACCCCATCTAGATGAACAATGTTTTACACGTTGCCATATTTTCTTTCTTCCTGTCTATTTAACTATTCACCAATATTTGCTGATCCATTTGGAAGTCAGTTGATCTCTAAACACTTCTGCACACATTGCCAAATACCGTTATTACACCCAGTGAAGTGATAGCAATTCCACAATATCATCTGATATTGTTTTTCCAGTTAACCCAAGGACATCTTTTATTACTAGCCTTTTCAAATGTGGATACAACAAATTTCACTCATTGACTTTTGTTATGTCTCTTTGGTCTTTTAATATAGAACTGGCTCCTACCTTTATATATATATATATATTTGAATCTAGGATGGTTGTTTTGAGGAATGTCGCACACTCCAGATTTGTCTGATTATCTCCTCATGATGTCATTTAAGTTGTCCCTCAATCCTCTGCATTTCCCATAAACTAGAAGTTAGGTCTAGAGATTTGATTAGACTCTGCTTAAACATCTTTATTATGTCATAGATAATGCTATTGCATCAAGAGGTATGTAATGTCAGGTTGTCCTGCTATGATTAAGGCCAAGATTGGTCACTTGGATAAGTGGTGACTACTCCCTGATTACCCCTTTAATATTATTTCAACTGGATGGATATTTGAGGGCAGAAGAAATACCACGTGTGATTGGCTTCAGGCGCTGTACTCCCTGGAGAGACCCTTGGGACAAAGGTGAAATCCCTACCCAAACCGCCCATAAGCCCACCTGACAGGGAGGGGAAGGCTCACTTGGTTTGTGTGAGCCTCCAGGTAATAGGACAAGTTCTAAGCCAAGCACTTCTGCAGTTCCAAGCCTCTTATGCTTCCAAAACCCAGCCCTCATCTAGTTCTATCTCTCTTTTCAGACTGAAATTCAGAGGCCTCAGGTGTTCTTGACAGCACTGTAAGGCAAAGGCAATTGTGCACGGAACCTGTGAAATCTGGGAGTGAGAAGATTCCAGTTCAGCTAAGCTTGATGGAGCATCCTCAGGTGTTCTTGACAGCACTGTAAGGCAAAGGCAATTTTGCACGGAACCTGTGAAATCTGGGAGTGAGAAGATTCCAGTTCAGCTAAGCTTGATGGAGCATTTTCCCATGGAGAGCACTGATGAGAAATGATCTCTGTACTTATCAAGAAGGAAGAGGACAGAAACAACAGCGCTGAGAAACTTTCAAATAGAAACCCCACAGAAGCTCTGGTGGGCTTGTCATGACATCAGGCGAGGCTTCCTGCTCATTGCCAGAGAGGTTCCTCCTCTCTTTTTCAGCACCAAGGACAGTGCCCCACCCCGATTTATTTACACCTGTGACCTCTTCAACGCTGGACCGCACTTTGTCTTTTATAAAATATTCCTGTATAAATTATGGCATCCCATCATGAAACCACCTATTTTTAAACCTATAGCATTTATCTTTGGGTGTATAAGATTATGACTATTTTTTAAGTTCTTATATTTATGGGTTCTGAGTTTTCATTAGTAAATATAATAATATATATTTGTAAAAGCAATTTTGTTACCATTTTCATGGTTCTCAGACCTTCCTTCAGTTGCTGCCCTACACATGCTCCTGCACCTCACCTGCTGGGCCCTCTCTCCTCCTCTCCTCCACGACATAGGGTCTGATGAGTTTGGGCCTCAAGATGGCAAGAGGGAGATCTGCAGCCAGGAAGAGTTCCCCTCCCTCACCTTCTCCAGGAGCACTCGCTGGCCCCCGAGATTGCCTGGGGCAGCCCCAACCCCAGCACACACACATTCACACCAGGCAGGAACTCACTTCCTAAATCAAGAGGACAAAGTTCTCTGCGTTCTCCTTCTGGATCTGAGCTTGTGTTTTTCCCCCCAACAGATCTGAAGAGATGGAGTCCTGGGGCCTATTTCCAGCTTTCTCATTAACTCCCTGGGTTAAATTTGGTGAAATCTTTTGACCATTTTAGCTCACTCTCAGTCTTGCCTTCTGCCAAATAAGGACTAGGTTGTTTCCAAAGTCCCCTTCATCACCGTCAATCTTAACATTTTTAGGATGATTTATCACGATTCCGGCCCTGCAGCTCAGGCTTCATTTTGTTCTAGAAGGTCTCTCCCACGGGCCTCCCCACAATCTTCATCTCAGACACGGCCTACACTCTGCTGCCCCCTCATGGACACTCTGAGCACCTGCAGTCACCGTTCAGCTCAGCCATTCCCTCCAGACCTCCCCTGAGAGAAATCTTTAGCCTACCCTTGGTTCATTCCCTTATTTGCCATCAAAACCCTCAGCTCCTAAAACTGGGCTGAATCCAGATGTCTTTACTTTCAGATCTGCCTCCTACCTCCCACAGGCCCAGATACTCATGGCCATGGGAGGGGGCATTTAATTAATAGCACTGCACCCCCACATCCCATCTGCAATTGCATTATCCACCTCAGCACCTCCCTGCACTCTCCTTCCATCTGCTCAATAGAGAGGCAGGATAGAGCATCCAAACACATAGGCTGCCCAGGTCCAATTCTTGGCAAGCTATTTAGTGCCTGGGTGAGCTTGGGAAAGTCTTCTTCTCCCTGGACCTCTGTTCTCTCTTCTGTAAAAACTGAGTGATCACTGACCATGTGCCAAGCACTGTTCATCAGCCCCCAGTCTACAAGCGAGGGCAACTGAGGCCAAGAGACACCCAATAACTTGCCCAAGATCATGCAACCAGAGGACATGAAGCCAGGATTACACACCCAGGAGTCTGTAGCCCAGCCTGTGTTCTTTTTTTTTTTTTGTCTTTTTTCGTGTCCGGCAACGGATTGCAACCCTCAGTTGTCGCGCCCGTACCGGACCGGGACCGGCAACGGGATCGCAACCCTTGGTGTTGCACCCGCACCTCGCTCAGCCAGTGAGCGGGAACCAGTCTGTATGTGGGATCCGAACCCTCGGTGGGAGCACCACCACGCTCTCAAGCGGCACACTGTAGCAGTGCGCCACCGGGCCGGCCACCCAGCCTGTGTTCTTAACCATCAGTCAGTCACATGTCCTCCCTGTGGGGTCACTTATGGGATTAACTGGGTTAAAACATGCAAAGTGCTTGAAACAAAGCCTGACACATAAAAAGTTTTAAAAGAAAGAAAGAGGAAGAGAGAGGACATTAGCTCTTGTTACACTGGCTTCCTTCTTCACAATTCTCTCTCCAGCAGCCCTTTATTTAAGTCTCTTCTTCCTCCTCAACCTCCAACCATAGAAGAGTGCTGGGTTGGATTGGGAGCAGGATGAAAGGAAGGCCCTGTCACTTTGCAGAAACAGGGAAATCCAAATGCACCGAGATGCATAAGAGACGTTTGGAGGTAGATACACTGGTGCACGGAGAGGAGGGTCCGACGAGGGCTCAAAGGCAGAGAAGAACTTGGGGACCACACCTCTGGGCTTACCTGTGACACCTGCATTGTCACTCACAATCATGCAGCTCCACCTGCCACTGCTTGCCCTTCAGTGCTGCTCCTGCCACACCCTGGGGGTCTGTTCATGGGCATCACCTCAGGCCACCCACTGCTCCCACCTGCTCTCTCTCGGACCCTGTCCTACTGCTATCACACCTTCCAACTGCAGCCCACCATCTCCTTCCTGATTATGCCACTCACCTGCTCCAAACACCGATGCCCCCACCCTCTTCAAGTAAAATCCAGACTCCTCAGCATGGTTTTCTAAGTCCCTGGAATTGGGGCACTCCTTCCCTCCAGGCCCCATCTCTCCCTCCACCCACGTCCCCACTGCATGGATTGCTGAACTGCGACCCTCTCTGCTCTGCAGCTTCTTCACCCTCCTCTTCCTACATCTTCCTTTCTAGAATCTGACCCATCCTGCAACTCCAATTCCACTTGCTCAGGAAGCCCTCTCTGACACAGCCCTTCACAATTAGTCTCACTCATAACTTTGCAACACTGTTATGTGTATTTCCCATGTCCCATTCATCCTTTCCCCTTCTCCACTCAAGGGCAAGGATGGAACTTTGTTCCCCTCCATCCCCCACAGTGCCCAACACAGTGCGTTGCGCATAGAGGACGCTACTAATGCTTGTTAAACTTAATTGAATCAAGGCTCATCACCACCACATTTTAAAAAACATCTCTGATCACTTTCATCCTGTCCTCCTCTCACTTCTTTTGGGCTTGTATTAACAAGACATAATCAGATTCTTACTTTTCTCTCATTGCTTGTACGTGCTTATCTTTGAGCCTATGGAAAGCCCCAAGCCCTGTGGGCCAAAGAGCCCAGCTCAGGCCGGGCAAGCCATGGGCTCTCATACATCCTGGGTTCCTCTTTTCTTTTCCTCCCATGGCCATGCCTCTCCTTTTCCAGAAGGGATCAAGACGAAAGGAATGGTCAGCAGAGCTTGTTTTCCCATCCTGGGGGACCCTGAGTTTGAGAATAAACACAGCATCCTGATTTTTCTCCTTCTGCTTCTCCAAGTCCTTTCATGTCATTCTCAGTCATCAGACACCCTGGGGGTAGGGCAAGTAAGAAATGAGGCTGGCAGTTCAAGGACCATCCCCTGACAAATAAAGGAAGACCAATGCCACTGGCCCACCCTCAAAATGTGTACAAGTGAGGGAAATGACCTTCCAAAGTGTCTTGTACAATTTGGATCTCTTGCAGGCAGATTATAATATGGCCGTCTGGATGACAGTCAGGGTTTTTGCATTTAGAACCCTGGAGATTGTGCTAGACCTGCGAAGACATGACCAATTGTGTTTTGCTGCTGAGGGTGATGGGACTCTAGACGTGTTTAAATTTAACCCCCAGGTTGGGCAGGCCTGATTCATCTGCGAGGCTGCTGCAGGTGGGGGAGCCGCCGGCTTCCTAAGCCAGGCTGCCGACAAGAGGAGGGACTCACAGTGGAGCCAGGCAGCTAAGGAAATTTACTGGTGGTGTAGCCAGGGAAAGTGGAATTGAACTTGGGTGATAATCAGCTTGATTAGCTCAGTGCCTCCTGGAGGGAGTCGAGGGCAGAAGGCAGTGCTGGGGAGGAGGAGGCGGACAGGTCATCTGGCATCAAGGTGGATCCCAGGAGCTGAGGTTTGCTAAGATCAAGAGCAGCATGGGCCCAGAGGAGTGCATGGAGCAGCAAACCCAGAAAAGAATAGTCCAATGTCCAATCCTGGGAGCAGGGTGGGTCCAGAGCAGTCACCAGGCTGGAGGCTGGGAGCAGGTAAGTGCAGGCATGAGGGGTGGGGAAGGACTGTGGGCCAGACCAGGGTGCCCATAGCACCTCCTTGCTGGGTGCTGGTGGAAGGGCAGGCTCTGTCCAGTTAAAGGCTCAAGATCTGCCATCAGCAACCCCCCTCTTCAGGTCCCAAAGAGATTCGGCCTCTGCTGGGTGAGATGGAGCATGTGGCAGAGGTCACTGGCTTTGGTCTTGGTGTAGGCCACCAGGTTCTTATAGGGTGACCACAGGAACCCCTGGAGCTCTGGCTTGTGAGATAAAACTGCAGCCTTCTGGCCTGGCACTCCATTTGCAAGGGCACTTCAAAAAGTTAGGGGAAAAATACAAATAATAGATAGTATGAATCATTCCACGAACTTTTTGAAGACCCCTCATATATAGGATTCAAACTTTGACTCTTTGGAATGAAATCCTGTCATTTGCAGCAACACGGATGAGCCTGGAGGACATTATGTTAAGTGAAATAAGCCGGCACAGAGAGACAAATATGGCATGTTCTCACTCATAAGTGGGAGCTAAAAGAGTTAATTTCACAGAAGTAGAGAGGAAATGGTGGTTACAGAGGATGGAAGGGGGAGGATAGGGAGAGGTTGGTTAATGAGTACAAAAATATAGTCAGATAGGAGGAACAAATTCCAGTGTTTGACATCACAAACGGGTGACTACAGTTAACAATAATTTGTTGTATGTTTCAAAATAGCTAGAAGAGATTTGAAATGCTCCCAA